GTGTGATTTTTTACACAGCAAAGCGTATTTATCAACCAAAAGTCTCTAAAAGCATATTTCCACTAATGCCATATATGGAAAAATCATGCACATGATGCATATATAATGCTGCTTCACAGATTAGACAAAAATGGTTAGCTCATGCATTTACATTCCTGCATTCATCAACGCAAGCAACACAATGTAGAGCTAATTTACACAACATCACCTTGCAATTCAGGGCAGGGCTTTGCACAACACACCTGCTGGGTGTGTACACACTACAAAGGTGTTTAGATTCCACCCATAGATCATGCTGGGAGGGAACACACTACAGAGGTGTATACATGTTCGTGGTGTGTTTTATAAGGTTAGTAAATCAACCCCATTATGTCCTATCAGTAGTATATCTTTGACTTGCATGTAGAACTGATGTTTCAATAGGAACTCTGTCCAAAATACATACTTTTCTCTAGTTTCTAAGGAATAGGCTGTCTTCATTTGTAAATAGAACCTATTAGCAATTTCATCTCAGGTTCTGAAGCTGGAACGGTTTCTGATGTACAGTTTGGCAAATACCTTATATCAAAAATAAAATAAATTGGTTGTCGGTGTTTTTAAATCATTTAAATCTTTTTCACACACCTTACCCATGTGAAACAGAAAGGAAGGCTCCTATTGCTGCTTTTTGTTTCTGATTTACACTTGTTCAGCTCCGACAGATGGCTGATGGGTAAAATGCAGGGCTTGTTTTCTTCACTACCAGAACCACCAAATTCAAGTGGCTCTTATTTGCCACACTTTCACAATGATTTACTAATCCTTTGACAAATTTAAAAATAATTACTGCCAATTCATAGATGATGAAATTGGAAGCAATTAAGACCATGTTGGTTTACACAGACCGTCCAATTGTCAGGATGGGGCCACTGTGTAGTATTCCCTGCTTTTTACTACACAGTGGCAGGGCAGCTTGGAGCTTGTTGGTTGCAAGCAGTGACCATATTTATTAAATGACGTCTGCGCAATCCCCGCCCGTTCAGCGGATGGCCGCAAATCTCCCAGTTGGCAACTGAATGGTGCAGGGATGCGTCATTGGTTACTAGGATGCTGTTGGCTGTGCAGTATCATTGGTTACTAGGACGCTGTTGGCTACACAGCCAACAGCGTCCTAGACACCAGAAACATTGCATAGCTGACAGTGTCCTAGTAACTAAAGACACTGTACAGCTGACAGCACCCTAGCAACTAAGGAAACTGTGCAGCTGACAGCGCCCTAGCAACTAAGAACACTGCAGCTCTGGTGCTGAACATGGACTCAAGATGGGAGTGTCTACGGTATGAACACTCAGGCCTCAGTTCTGCCCCTACCAGGCCTCCATGCAAATAATTCATAAACCGGTTTCCGCACATTAATTTTTCTCAGGCACCATCCTATGTCTTGTGGGGAAGCGACATAACCGTATCTACAACATTCATTATTATATTTTCTGAAATTTATATTGAGTTTATGTTGTCAATTTAGCTGCGTGCAGTACATGTCACAGTTCTTTAGTGTTTATAGCTTCAATTTCTTTAGTGCCCTACAATCTCTAAATATCACTTGAAATATTCTATTCATCAGTATTCTTGCTGCTTTGAAAAAAATCAATGAAATCTGTTTAGAAAATCAATGTTTGATGCAGCCTGTAATGCATCTTTTCCCTTCGCAGTCCTTCTATTGACATAAAAAGTTCCAGTGCAGCAACTTTTGGCTCATTAACGGTTACTGTAATTTAACGGTTTAGCGCAGCTTCACTTGCATCACGAAAATGTACCCAGCAGTGAGGGGTGCAATAAAACGCCACGATCGTTCCACAAACTTCAGTTTATCCCATAGGCTTATACAATCTGTCTTCTGCTTACTCAGTCAAGCATTCACTAGAGGTAATGAGCATATGTGCATCAATGTATTACAATGCACATTTCCTAGAAATGGCGCTGAGAATTATATTAAACTGCTGAGGAATGATCGCTATCCCAGGTGAGTACTTATACAAAACAATAAGAAAATCATTCAGATTTCTACTGTTGTCTCTTAAAGTAGAAGTAAGCTGAATAATGTTTAGCTGGCTAAAGTACAGCATATCCTAAATTGCCATGATTTTTTGTTTTAAAATAAAGTGCTTAAAGGAGAACTATGAGGAGTGCTTTTCACTCGCCTCATAGTTCTAGCCGGCCATGTGACAATGACACTGTCACAGGTCGGCTCAGTAGATCGGGAGGTGAGCGAACACATACCTCTCGATCCTGTCACGGCTCAGTCACGCAGCTGGGCGGATCCCGGCACAATTGTCGGGATCTGCTTCAGCGTCTCAGTATACCACGAGCAGCAGCTCACGGTATACTGCGGCGTCTCAGTATACCGCGAGCTACGGCTCGCGGTATACTGAGCCTAGGGCGACGGGAGTATGCTAGTTTGTGTCCTCCCGTTACCCTAAGGAGAACTATGAGGAAAAGCCTTAACCCCATAGTTCTCCTTTTAAGGGCTCATTCACATCATAGTGCTGCACTAAAGGCACCGTTTCCATGTGTTTAGTGCACGCTGCCGCACAATGCAGCCAAAGCTAGCTCTGAACGGCACGCTAAAGTGTCATGCAGCAGCCACGTGTTGCAAAGCACGGTGCGTTGCATTGCCATATATTGAAAAAAAAGTAGAGCATGCTACTGTGAACAATTGCAAAGAGTCTATCCCCAAGACAAACACAAGCAGCCAAGCTTCTCAATGTTTAACCCTTTGTTAGGGCAGACATTGTTCACATGAAATTTACAACTGATAATGAGATCTGTCGGCACAGGGTTAATTATGGTAAACTTTAACTCCCTAGCCCAAACCTTAACAATACAAGGCAAGAGCAATCTTCAGTTTTCAAAAAAGAGCAAGTAAAAAGTTAGGCAGCAAATTTTTTTTTAAAGTTATATAAATGGGAACATTAACAATGTGTTATCCCAATGTGGCCCCAAAAGTGAAAATACACTTTAAACTACTGGCCAGAGACTCTTATAATGCATGCACAGTGGTTGTGTTTTGGAGTGTTCAGAGAGGAGACAATGAAGACAACAAATGTCAGAAAGAGTTACGAATTTTGGGACAGAGCAGGTGTTTTTTTTGTATAGAGTAGGGAAGGGCAAGAACATCTGTCATATTTTAATTGCCCTGTTTAGCCCTGTCCCGATGGCACATGTGCTTTCACATTTCTTGTCCTGGGGTCACTGGGACAGGAAGTGAGGAGAGGTCTCTTTAATGAGGACACAGGCATCAGTAAAAATCAGACAGGAGTTCTGACTCTTGAGCAGGCCCTATACTTTTGGCTAATTCAGATGAATGGTCTGAATTTCTAGCAATGGGTGGCCCTGCTGGCTTGACAAAAGTTGATTACTTTAATAGTTTTTTTTTTTTTTAATCGAAGGAGTCGGGTCAAAAATCATCAGCCAAACCGTGACTATAGTCAGTCAGCTCCAGTCACTGTTCAGGTATCCTTACACCCGGTGGCTGAGGTCCATCTGGTAGATTTCGTTCATTGAACCTAAAGTTATTCACTTACCATTAAGGATTCTGTATAGCAGATCATTGCTCTTCTTGAAGCTGGTAGATGACCACTTGCTTAGTTATACTATGAGTTGGGGTTTCTGGGACCTTTTGGGGAATATCTGTGGTTTAGTTATTCACTTACTGTTAAGGATCCTGGAAAGCAGATCATCGCTCTTCTTGAAGTTGGTGGATGACCACTTTGCTTGGTTATACTCAAGGATGAGGTTCCTGGGATCTTTGGAGAGATGCCCACCATGCATAATCAACAACAACTTAAAGAAGATGGAGGGGGTGATTTAGTAAAGGAGAAAAGACTATTCACTTAGCTTAGTGAATATTCACCAATCTTGGTAAATATCCTGAATCTGTTTAGGTTCAATCATCCAGTCATGCCTGCACGAAAATCTTATATATTTTTGTCCCCTTTGCATGTGTTTTGATTTTTCAACATGAACACTTCTTCACCCTATGCACCAAGCTCGGTGACCAATTACTTTGCTCCTTTAGTTGATCACCTCCAGTATGTCATTAATTCCACGGACATGCACGTAAGGAAAAACTTTTGTCTTTGTAGATCTGCTCTGTAAGGTTGTATAAGCGTATTGCTATTGCATAGTCGTGCACTTCAGCTCTGCCAGCTTCTGCTTGAACTCTAATAAGAGGTAGCATGATTGTGTAGCTTGAAGGATTTGTTTTTAAATTCTCTTGTCTAATCTCCTGGATTCCACTGGTACCACAGGGTGATTCTGGTCTAATACCCCGGATTTGTGAAGGATTGTTCAGTAGGATTGCTGAAGTTACGAGGAGGGGCGATGCATCATTTCGTACAGAAGTCAGGTATGTTTATGGTGAATGTTCACTATGTAACAAGGTTACCAAATACAGTTTCTTCTACGGTACATTTCAGGCACCATTAGAGGAGCACTCCGGTATATAATGTGCTATTGTAATCACTAAGGTGGTAACCAAACTGCAGTTGTTAATGCACACGGTTTTAAAATGTGTAGTTTGAAAAAAAAAAAAAAAATTATTTTGCCCAGACATGCACTTTAAGCAAAGTAAAATTAATTACACACAAGGGAAAATGTGTCATAGAGCCCTGCTCCTGCATCCCTTTTTCCTGCTGCCTCTAGTATGTATTCTATTATAATGCTGATGCTATAACAGGATAGGATATGCTGGGATGTTGCAACTCCTTTAACTTGTGCTGTTTTCTAAAATAATGTTTTTTTCCAGAGTTCAAACTAATTAGATGTGGTATGTTGGTTCAAGCTGAATTCTGGGAATCTGCTAAATACACAGTTAAAACAGTTCATGTATATGTATTTCATCAGCTAAATAATTTCTAATTGCATTCAGATAGTCCTATGACCCACACAGCTCTGCCAAGTCAGATCAGCAATGTCAGTGACATCAATTTTCTGTACTGCTTGATCACCTCCTGCCCCCTGCCTGTTGGACAATGAAAGACAATCAGAATACTGATTAGATCAATCCAGTGCTCTTGCCCCTTGTAACCAAACTATTGCCTGACGGGACTGTGCAAAGCACTAGAGCCTTGACTAGCTGACTCTCCCAGTTAGTGCTGTTGTGCAAGGGATTACAGGCGCTTTAGCAGGACAGAATTGGATGTTTTGGGATGTAAAATGCAATTTAATGATTTTATTGGATTAAATTGCATCAGCCTGCAGTTCAGTCATAAATACCACAATGACAACTCTGCTCTAGATAGCTTAAATCCTAACTCTGGGCAAAATTTTTATTAACCCTTGCAGTTGAAGTAGGACTACCCCTGCACTGCAATGGTTAACTGCGTGTTTTTTGATCTAGGGAGGGCAATAAGTTATACTCGCCCGATCCTCCAAGCGGACTGGCTGTGATGGCGCTCCCTCCAGCCTATACACTGTATATAGTATGTGATGACTCTGCAGACCACTGCAGTGTAGGGGAAGCGTGGCTGTAAGGATCAGATGAGTGTAGCTTTTTTATTTTCTTCCCTAGACCAAAATGAGCAGTTAACCCTTGTAGTGTGGTGGTAGCCCCACTGCAAGGGTTAATAAAAAAATTGTTTGCCCGAAATTCTTCTTTTTAAAGTAAAACTGGTCTCCCTTTAAAAAAAAAAAAACGTGTGTTACAACATCTGCACTTAGTTTTCTCTTGGTATCCCTGCAAAGTCCAACAAATATCTGTTGGTCCTGCCAGCAAAGTCCACCTAACATAGCTTCATGTGATGGTGTGGCAACAATGCTGCAATTACCACTCATGTGGGCTGTGCCTGTTTGCCCTACAGTGGGATGAAAAATGTTGCAGGGGGCGTGGCTATGCTGATTCCCAGGCCTGTAGATTGTCAATCAGCCCCTGGCCACACCTAGCCTTTTCCTACTTTCTGGTAACACTGTCTCTGCTACTAAAACCCTCCCACTCCGCTGCAAATGGCGATTTTTGTTCAGTTAGGGAAGGAAAAGGAAGTTTTGGGGGTTTTTTGGGTTACTTTATGAGCCTTGTGCATCACATAGTAACTAGATTTACAAGTTGTTTAGACTGTTATATGGGAGCCTTTAGTTGTACTTGAAGCCTCCTATATTAGAATATTCCATTCATGACTAATATCCTAAGAGAGGTTCCTCAATGGACTAGACTACAGTGTCAGCCCACCAAGGCTCAGGTTAGTTTCCCCAGAAATGATTATTAATGAGGTATTTGCATGAGAAGTGGCAACTTATTTGCCCATCTTTTGATCATATAGGTGTGTAACTAGGATCTTGCTTGCTGTTCTCCCTTTAAAAAGTTTACTTTTAAGCCAAAAGTGGGGAAAAGTTAGAACCCCTGCGAGGTATTAACTCAACATCCTGGTCTGAATGGCTGCATATTTTTCGCTGTACATTAGCTGATATTTGTTTTTAGCCATGAAACGGCTCCTTTTAGCTTTCATTGTGTATTGCTTGCATTCCATTCAGCTACCTAGAAATTTACAACGAGAGAGTGAGAGATCTGCTGCGAAGAAAGTCATCGAAAACCTTTAATTTACGAGTTAGAGAGCATCCCAAAGAAGGTCCTTATGTTGAAGGTGGGTAATTACACATCATATTATTCAATTAAATTCAAACATAAATTCATATACAGTAATACCTTGGTTTACGAGCATAATTCGTTCCGGAAGCATGCTTGTAATCCAAAGTGCTTGTATATCAAAGCGAATTTCCCCATAGGAAATAATGGAAATTCAGATGATTCGTTCCACAACCCAAAAATATTCATATAAAACTTATTACAATACTGTAATATAATACTGTACAAAATATAAAGACAAACCAATTACAGATACCTTCGTGGCTGGTGTGAGGGGGACAAGAGAGGATTATTAAGAGGAGGATTATTGTGTAGGACGACTTTCACTATCACTAACGGAATCACTGCTATCTCTTGGCTCAATGGAATCTTTTTCATTTTGTGAAACCTTAACAAGGAATATATCCAATGTGACATTGCATTGTCGTTAAACAGATTCATCGCTCGCACTTCTACAGCCTTATTCGGGTGGTGCTTTTCTACAAAATTTTGCTCTTATTGCAAGACATTGCTTGTATATCAAGGCAACATTTTTCAGAAATGTTTGCTTGTCTTGTAAAACACTCTCAAACCAAGTTACTTGTAAACCAAGGTATTACTGTAATGCAATAACCCTGTGTTTTCACAGAAAGCAAATACAATACAAAGCGCAATGATGATACTGAATCCATACCCAGACCACCTAATCAGATTTTAGGGTGCTGTAGTTCAATCATCAATAAAATAAAAGATGGATTCTGATTTTTATGGGTTACTAGTCTGTATAGTTGTTTCTGTTTTGGAATATCCATGATTTACCACCCACCTTGAAGCAGATTCATCTGAAACGCCATTATATTGAGAAGCATGTAAAGAAACTTGGATATCCTCAAGACAAATAAGACAAATTAACATTTAAAGTAGCTTTGGGGACATCTTACCCACTGAGTAGCTCTAATTTTCATCCTGGCACATACTTTGTCGGCTGGTAAAAGTATGTTAACTAAATCCTGACAATTACCAGAATCCCCATCTTCTGAATGTCTTTATCTTCTGAGCCTGATTTGCCTGAAGTGGTCCACTCATTAAGTGTCTGTTCACACCTATGCAAATGCAGTAATATGCGTTTATGGTGTGTATTACTTCATGCATTTAAAGCTGAGCTCTAGGCATACAATATATATATATATATATATATATAATCCCTGGCAGGGGCATGGGAATCCTGTAACATACTGTTATATCCGCAACTACTCCAGTGTATTACAGTGTCTTCTAGGTCAGGAACAGCCACTGAGCTGAGCGGCTTCCTCTGTGCTGTTAAAACACAGCAAATTGCTTGCTCAGAGCAGTGGCCATTCAATGAATCCTAGGTAGTCTCTGATTGGACAAGTGGCCAGGATGTCACAGTGCCTGACTTAATATCAATTTGATGGACTGTTATTAACGGCTGCACTCGCATATCATGTAATTGGCAAATCCGTAGCTCACCACACACGTTACAATCGGATTGTTGTACAGTCAACTTTAGATTGACCAAAACTATACAATATAAGGACCTAACTAAACTATCCAATCAATCTATTTCCAGTCGGACAGGCCCTCTCACTACGCAATTGTCAGTAGATCTAAAGTAGATTTGACAGATGGTTTGTAATCTGAGTAGTTAGCCTAAAGAACATAGTACAGTTAGCTTAAAATGTGTTTGTGCATTAATACTGGAGTGCAAGCATGACCATGCCATGTGGTGGGTGCATTTAAAGCTTACCACACAATCTAATTGTGCAATCTCCTTGAGGCCACATTTACGTCATTGCTTTGCGGGAATCCGTGCAAATCGGGTCGAAAGTGCACACATAGGTGTGTGTTCATGGAAACATGCACCATACATGGAACGTGCTTGCAGTGGCATTACCATTTAATGGCACCCTAAACACGGCTGAACAAATGCAGTGTATTCCCACATGTTTGGGTGCATGTGAACATGCACAAATGCATAGGAAAACAAAACGCGGAGCGCATGTCAAAATTTGTGGCCTGTATCATTTTCCTGCGTCTGGTGCGCGGTCAGGGACCCAATAGGCAAACGTGCAGGAACGCATGTTACAGCAATGCACGTTCCTACAACGCGTCAGTGTGAATAGGGACTAAGATCTACCAACAACTATGTGGTACAAGGGCCTGCCTGATTGGATACAAATTAACTGGATAGGTTAGGTAGGTCCTCATATTAAACAATTTTGGTAAATGTAAAGTTGATTGTACAATGTTTGTACCATCAGATTGTAACATGTATGGTGACCTCAAGGCCATTGTTTTCGAAAGATTTTATTTGCATAACTATTGCACGCCAGTTCTTTTTAAGGTTATTATAGTACAACACAATGATTGGTTGGACATTGGCTCTATTAAAATGAATACTTTTTTCTTCTTCTCATGTCCGTATATATTGCCTATACTGGCAACTGCAACAAAGTACTGTCCGTGTGATTGAGCCCTTCTGAGCAGTTTGTTTCTTATGCTTTCTTCCTTCCCAGTGATCTCTTGTCCTTGACAATGGAGGGGGATCTAAGAAGACATATAAAACATGCCAGTCACACAATTGTATGCCTCTGATTAAAGCATAGACATTACCGAATAGTGTAGTTGTTGACTATTGCATTTTCCATTTCCTGTCATATTTGCAGACTTGTCAAAGCACTTAGTTCAGAATTACAGTGACGTGGAGGAGTTAATGGATGCCGGGAACATTAACAGAACCACAGCTGCCACCGGAATGAATGATGTGAGCAGCCGATCGCACGCCATCTTTACCATCAACTTCACTCAGGTGGGCATAGTGCCTGACTGCCTCTATTTCTGTTAATAAGTAGAATTTTTATCCCTGTAAGTAGTGTTCAAACAATTGACATAAGAGTACTTGCACTGTGTAGAAGAGACCGTGTACAGGAGGATGAAATAAAGTCAGATTCCGGTTCTTGCACTATCTGCATTTAACAGTACATTTGGCTGTTTTCTAATGTATAAATAAATGCATTATGTAGTGTTTTCTTTACATTTGCCTGGAATTATATCAAATTCAGTTTCATAAAAACAACCCTTCCAGGCGAATTATTTTTTAGCTTTGGATAAAGTAGGGAAGTTTTGTCCTCCTGTCAAGCTTTTATTGCTGTTTGCATTCCCAGGGAGTCTTTTGTCCTGGTGACCTTTTTGTCACTGAGTCAAAAAGTGGGGGGAGGGGATATACTTTTTCTTTGGGTACCAAACTTTGTAACAGGTCTACCATTGGGAACACCTTTTGCAGTAGAACTGTATAAGTTCTCCTGGCTTTAGGGAGACTTTCTGTGACTTCCGAATGCATTTTCAGGACAACAAGTAGGGACAAATTGCCCCTTTGGGACATAGACAACCAAAATCCTGCAAGGGCTTTAAATTCTCTCCTATAACCGGCTACCTTTTTTAGTTAAAGAATAAATCAGTTGATCTAGGAATACAAGCAGCTACATTTATGTGCAAGTCTTAACTGTTCCCGTGAAAGTAATTCATCAAGAATCATCCAAAATTTGGTCAGTTGCTGAGGAGCATTGGCTAATTTACATCACACACAAGGACCATGGAGAACAAAAGTAGCTAACCTCTAGAAGTAAGGACAGTGTCCGTATGAATTCAGAGATTATTTTAGGATCTACAGCTGAGTGAGGCACAAATAAGATGCAGTTTTGTTAAAGGTTAAGGTACTTGAATGTATTTTAAGATTTAACTCCTGAATTTAGTGTCACTTTTAAGTGCTCTCTATATATTCTAATAGGTTACATGTAAGACCTATTCTAGTCTTGCAGTCCTCCTCCATCCTGTTTGTCTGTATTCTCCACAAACTAACCACCTTGGAGCTTAAGAGGGGACCTAAGCACCCCTGTACCTACAGCCTCATAACTGCATATCTGCAGTATGAAATCTCCGGTACTTCTGCCCCTGTCTGTTTGTCTCAGGAAATTTGGAGTGAGATATGGTGATGTCACTACTGTGCTGCTGTTTGCTGGAGAATATCACATGAAGCAAAGCCCTGCCTCTGCCAAGATGGCCATTTTCAGAAAGCGACCAAGTGCAGAACACTGTATAGGGAGGGGGGTAGTGTGGTGGGTGTAGCGTTTGCGCACCTATCTTCCCTACCCTTTGCAACACACAATTTCCTCTCTAATTTTAGATGCAGAGCTTAAGTTGCATTTTGCACAAGTGACAGTTAATTTAATTAACATGTCTTGCTAAGTCACATTCCACTTAGACTAAAACTATTGTCTTGTAATTTACCACTTCTGTCACTGGCAGTTCCATGCCAACCAGTTATTTTGATTTGTCTGATTTGTTTGTTTTCCACCAGGCTAAGTTTGATGCTGAGATGCCTTGTGAGACGGTAAGCAAGATTCATTTAGTGGATCTGGCTGGAAGTGAGAGAGCCGATGCCACCGGTGCAACTGGCGTGCGACTTAAAGAAGGAGGAAACATTAATAAATCTCTTGTAACTCTGGGAAATGTCATTTCTGCCTTAGGTATGCTGTGCTGCTCTCTTTTACTTGTCACTAACATTATTTGTAATAGTACAGCCTTACATTTGTTGCTGTTTTCTCCCACTGAGTGTGCTTTGAAAGTTGGCAGCATGGTCTGCTTGTGGCTGGAGCAGCAGAAGGAGCATTCAGAAAATTGTTAAGTAGAAAAGCTTCAAGTTACCTTCCCTGAAATACTGACAGCGCTATTGTTATTGGAAGATTTTTGAGGGCCCATTCTCCTTTGTGCTTTGCAGCAATGAGTGCTAAAATGCGAATGTTAAAGCATGTTGCCACAGTGCATGCCAACGCACCCGTTCTATCTGCAGTGGCATTCAATGGGAATGGCAACCCAATGCAATGTACAGTAGAGTACAATGTGCATACCATGTGTCTGGGGTGCTACGTTTTGTACAAAAAAAGTGCTTGACCATTTTTTTCATTTGGGTTGCATTAGCAACCTATTAATAATGAATGGTCTGCCTTAACATGCGTTAATGTTTCACAATAGATCACTTCACTTTGAAGGAACTCTCAAAGTTTCTGCAGCAGTCCAGATTGAGTGCCTGTAAGGGCCTGTTCACACTTACAGTATATCCGTGATCTGCGTTTTACTGCACTGGATTAACGCAGGTTACCGCTAGGATATGTAGAAAACAATTCATTTCTATGTGTTCTGTTCACACCACAATGCAGGTGTGATGGGTGGTGCGGTGTGGAAAAATCCAAACATGCTGCATTTTTTGCTGGCTGCCACCACCAGTAGGTACCTGAATGGAGTATACACATGTGAACAGGCAGCATATAAGACAACCATTGTGGCGGCTGGCAGCTGATTTTCAGAGCAAAAGTTTACGAATTACAGGTAAGTATTGGGACAAATTGCTATTAACCTCATTCACAGTAGCAGCTTTGTTAATGTTCATTGTACGAAACTACTTATAATGTGAATAGATAGTGGCATGCACATAATATATGGCATCAAGCATATGTGTGCATTTAACTGTGTAATAGAAGCTAATAATTTTAATTTTGGGCAGTTTATTTTTTGAGACATGTATTAACTAATGGTAACCGATGTATATAATATAAACGCATGTGAACTGATGGAAGTGTATTGCTCACCCCCTAAGGAGCCGCTGAGATCCTAGATCTTCTATAGCCTGTCTAGGGGATTTTAGCAACCTGCAGCCCCAATAGCATTAACTGGCCTCTACCTCTTACTGATGGAGCTGAAATCCAGGCCAGAGGTATGATGCCGAAGAACTTTTATTAGAACACTTGAACTGAGAGAGAGGGTTTAGTGCTTAGGACATCCAAGGCAGAAATAGACAAAACAGAACTCAAGGGTCTCCTCAATCAGTATTAGGCCTCCTCCAGACTTGAGGCCTAGCAAAGCATTTCCCGCAGTTAAGCATTCCCTTAGGTCTGGGGGCAGGCTGGATTAAAACTCCAACCTAGGACAGGACTAAGATTGAGCACATGGCAATTCACTGAGCCAGCATGCACCACTGGCCATGAAACCACCTGTGCATATAGAGCATCTATAGGTCATGCTAAAGGAATATGAATAAAGGTGACATTCCGAAGAACAGTGGTGTGCGGACAACATATCTTCTAGATTGCATACTGTGGCGCCAGCCACCAGTTGTTCAGTACCAGTTGGATTCTGGGGCACATCAGTATGGTGTGCGAAGGGGATATTGCTAAGACATTCTCTATAATATTCTCCTTAGCTCCTTCTTTGGCTGCTGCATAAAATGTTTTTTTAGAGAGGTGAGGGGTGGAGGAGCTGGGCCATTACAGAGAGTAATTAGAAAGAATTGGTAATTATCTGCGATTTTAAGTTGGTAACAGGGGCTCTTTAACCTGTAAACATGCAATGCATAGTACATAGATTGAAGCAGAAAATATAAAAAAAGGTTAATGCTCGCCTTGTAGTAAAAAGCAAGATCTGATTAATATGAGAGCCCCTTCCCCCACTAAATAGCCGTATGTACAAAAAATCTGTTGGTAAAAAAAAATATTAAATATACTTAGTCTACCATAGCTTCCATACTGCAGGGGTTGACGTTACACTCTTTCTGGTAAGATCCTGAAGAATGCAGAGCACCCCAAATCTCCTTTAGCACAGCCCAGGAGTGTTTTCTCATCAGATTTTGGGTACTCTCCACAATCTTGTGGGAATATGGTGACGTCATCCTCATCTAGGTGCGCACAAGGTGAGACAAGTATGTTTTAATATCTTCTTTCCTGACAGGTTCTTTAAAAAAAACCAAAACACATGCTGAGATGAAAGACGTTTGTGTGAATGTGTAAAAGAATGCCTTACCTATCTGACTCTCTCTTACTCTGAGCCACCCTGCTAACTGTAATGGTTTAACACCTACCCTCCCTGAAGAAACTGGGCTTCCTCCAGCAGAGAGTCAGCTGACCCATACCTATTCTTTGGGTACACTCAGGCTTTCTGTGCAAACGTGGTTTCTACCTTCAGCACAGGCCACATGACCACTGTATAGGCATTGGACAGGTGACACTGCCTGAGGGAGCCCATAACCGTGGCCTATTCAAGACAGGGAAGTATTTACTCAACATTTACAACATGGCTTTAGGGCAGCAGGAAGGCCAGGTTTAAAATAGTATATTCAGCCCTGTACGGGAGAGGTCCACTTGCATTCTGGCATTGCCTTCCACAAGCTTCCTTTTTCAGTTCTTGTTGTGTTCAGTATTTTGCAGCGTTGACATATACGTAGCTGTGGTCCATTTAAAAGTTTAAATTATGTTGTCGGCTTTATGAGTGTAAAAATGCAGAGAATATCCTGGAGGGGAAAAAAAGAGCCTAATTCTTAAAATGATTTTATTCTTTTCTTCTTAGCTGATTTATCTCAGGACGCAACCAACCATCTTGCGAAGAAAAAGCAAGTGTTCGTGCCTTACCGGGATTCTGTTCTGACTTGGCTGTTAAAAGATAGCCTGGGAGGAAACTCTAAAACTATAATGATTGCCAGTAAGCTTTTAGTACTCCTCTATTTTTTATTCACTGCTTTATATGCTCAGCTGTACTTGCCACTCTGTATTTCTCTATTTAAAGATGCTGATAACATTTAAAAAAGAACTTTGGACAAAAACTGAAAATAGATAGGATTGCTTCTGTAAAATAATGAATAAA